CCTGAGTAGTTTATCTGCCAGCCACAGAGATCAGGTCTGTTGCTTCATGGTGAGCAAGTCGGAGCACTTTCCTGCCCCACCTTCAAGATGGTGGTGGGGTGCCTCTCTTGTCCTCTTCTGTGGGGCTTTGCCTCTGAACTCCCTCTGAACCCCTGCTGCCAGTGCCCTTCCAGGTGCTGAAGTGGTGAGGCAAAGCCTGGAGCCAGCAATTTCTCTTGCTGCAATGGTGAGGCAGAGCCTGAGGTGATGGTCTCTCACCACTACTTTTCACAGGAAAACTTTTGTCAATTTAAAAAAAATGACACTCAGCTTCTGTGACCTGGGAAGAGCCAGGGTCCAAACAGAGAAGCTGCAGCACCAGCTATTGCACCACAGGCCTGGCCACTTGCTCACAAGCCCCCACTTATTCTCTTCCAGCATTTTCTTGCCAGTAAGGATTTTGTTGATTTTAAAAAACAGAAAGAAAGAAAATGGTACTCGGCTTCTGCATCCTGGGAACTGCTAGAGTCCAAGTCCAGCAGCTGTGGCACCAGCCAGTGCACCAGGAGAGCCCTGGCTGCTAGCGCCCTGGCTGCTAGCTCCCTAGCCCTCACTCAGTCAGCCACTCACATGCCCACTCGCTCACCATCACGTAGAAAAACTTTTGCATACAATCACTCACACCAGGACTCACATAGTCTGACTGGCTTGGCCGCCATTTTCCCAACCTCTCAAATCATGGACTTTTCAGCCAATTAGATGGAGTTGGAAACAATCATTTCTAGCAACCTATCATAGAAAAAAGAACCAAACATCACATGTACTCACTCGTAAGTGGGACATGAACAATATTCACAATAGCACAAGTAGGGATTAACAGTCATGGGATACTGCCAGGGGAGGGAGCAGGGAATGTAACAACACAAAGGGTAGCTGGTCCTCAACCAGGGGAAGTGAGAACCAGTTGGAGGCCCACACTTCACCTACACATATATCACTTATGTACCTAATCCTGACTTGTTACCCACATCTTAATTATAAAATAAAATAAAAAGAAGGAGGAGGAGGAAGATGACAATGATAACATGATAGCAGTGCTTTTTAGAATCATAGTGGTATCCAAATCACTTCTACCAAATCTCATTCAAGGACACAGTGAAACATGTTAAATTTATTACAGGATGCTCACTGCATATCTTTATTCCTACTGGAGTTAAACATTTCTGCCTGTCACATCAAACCAAAACTGTTATCATGATGCTAAGGAGGACACACTGAGTTATGAGATGCACATTTTTCTCATTAAAAAGCAGTCTGATTAGGCAAGTATTTTTGAAGATAATGCTTGAGTAAGAAAATTGGTGTATTTGACATTTTAAACTCAATTTGAAATGTAGTAGAAAAACCAAAGCTAGTTATTATTTTAAAGGCATTATTGTTAGGGCACTGAAGTTTTGGAACTATTTGACTAGCTACTCTATGTTCACAATTTTGTTACATCTTTTTGAAGAAGACATTATTAATAAAACTATTTGCAAGAAAACCATAGAGATATTGCATTTTCTGTCTCAAGTTTTCTTTTTCTAGCAACCAATGCTCTGGGATGGCTCAACTCTTAGTCATTACACTAAAAAGAGAAGTTTTTATGGCATAAAGAAAAAATAATCAGATGAAATAAACATTTGATATTTTTAAAATCCTGTTGGAAGACTGATGAGGAAGGATCACCTGAGTCCCCCAGGTCAAGGCTGCAGTGGCCATGAGTGTACCACTGCTCTCCAGCCTGGGCAACAGAGTAAAACTCCAACTCAAAAAAAATCCTGAAACAACAATTTTAATTCTGCCTTTAACATGTATTACATTTTTGGATGCTTAGCCCTTTCAGAAGTGCAGTTTGATTTCCTACCTGTGAGTGTGGCCTGGACTTAATTACTCACTTCTAACTGACAGAGTAACGTAATTATTTGTGACCATGCATGTAGAACATGAAATTTGCTTCAGCTTCTACCTTGGTTCTTCCTCTGGAATCACAAGTTCCTGGGGAAGCTAGCTGCTATATCATAAACAGTCCACATGGCTGGGAACTGAGGCCTCCTGGGATCAGACAACAATAACCAGGTGAATAAGTCATGTTTCATATGAATCCTAGTCCCAGTCGAGCCCTCAGATGATGCAGCCCTGACTGACAACTGCAACCTTGTGAGAGGCCCGAAGTCAGAAACACTCAGGAAAACCTCTCCCAGATTCCTATCAAAAAGTATAGGAAGTAATGCATAGTTGTTGCTTTAAGCTGCTAAGCTTTAAGGAATTTTTCATGCAGCTGTAGAAAACTACTGTAGCTCTAAAAGGTAAAGACTTATTGCATTTTGACTTTTATCCATTCTAAATTAAGTTTTACAGTTTTAAAAGAATTTCCATGGCTAAACAGGATGTGTTTTATTAACATTTGCAACAATCTAGTTATTTGAATTTTAATTTCCCACTGTTACCCAATGAAACATGAAAGGAAGATCCAGGTCTTGCTAGACTGATTCTATGAATACCCCTCCATAACCATCCCTTGGTTATTAACCTTCCCTGAGTTATTTAATCAATACTAATGTAGGTACTGCAGTGAAGATATTTTGCAGATGTAATTAAGATCACAAATCCGTTGACTTTAAGACAGTGGGTTTTCCTAAATTAAACTGTCTTAATCAAGTGACCCCTTAAAAGGACTGGGTGACTGTGTTCTTCCTTAGCATAGAGATTCACAGTGTGAGAGGGATTCAGTGTGAGGGTACCCTTCACGGTGGGCTTTGAATATGGAGGGGCCATGTGGCAAAGAATGCTGGTGGGCACTAGGCATTGGGCGCAGTTCTCCTCCCTCTTCCCCCTGACAGCTGGCAAGAAAACAGGGACCTCAGTCCTATAATCGCCAGAAACTAAATTTTACCCATCAACTCCATATAAATTTGGAGGAGGACCCCAAACTCAAGATGATAACACAGCTTTGTGAATCCTGAAAAGAGGATCTAACTACATCATGCTTGGATTTCTGACTAAGAAATTGTCAACAAATAAATGGGTGTGGTTTGAAGTCACTAAGTTAGTAGTACTATCTTACACAGTAATAGAAAATTAATACACAGCCTCCATATATAATCACATAAAATTTTCTTCACTGAAATGAATTTATGAACTGATATGCACGGTTCACCATATGCATGAAACAAAAACTTGCCTATTTTAGTACTTTTCATTTTATAATTTTATATGAGGCAATTAAATTATAATACTATAATATTTCATTCATTCATTCAACAAAAATTTAGTGCCTACTTTGTACTGGATATGTCTTTATATGCTACAGATACAACTTAGATCAAAACAGTTCAAAGCCCCTGTGCTCATGTGCCTTACATTCTAGAGAGTTCACAAGAGCAACACGAAGCCATTGGAGTATTTTAAGTGAGGAAACAACACAACTTGACTCACGTTAGCAGGACTGCTGACCACTGTGGGGAGAATCATCACAGGAAGAATGTGAGGGGCAATACTAATATATCACAGTTTAGTAGTAACAGGGTTATGAGGTCTTAGAGAACAAAATGACTTGAGGGATGAGAGCAAAAGAGAGAAGGGCTGGAGAAGCAAAAGGCAAGGAAAAGAAGCAGAGGGAAAGAATTCTAAAGTAACAGAATTCTCAGGTTTAAGCACAGTGTTTTTTAGATTTTTAATACATCTTTCTACAAAGCCTAGCAGGGTGTTCTTTGCGCTTGTTAATTAATACATCTGTGGAACTGTCTAAAAACAAATGTCCTCTTTATGTTAATCGGGTTCAAAAAAAATATCAAGTGTCCAATAAAGTATGCACACACCTCAGATATGAGTCATTCATTAAAACAGGCAGCGGTAAGGCCAGGCTCGGTGGCTCAGCCTGTAATCCCAACACTTTGGGAGGTGGAGGTGAGTGGATTGCCTGAGCTCATGGGGTTTGAGACCAGCCTGGACAACTTGGTGAGACCTCGACTCTACAATTAAAAAAAATTAGCCAGGCATAGTAGTGCACACCTGTAGTTCTGGCTACTTGGAAGGCTGAGACAGAAGGATCATTGAAGCCCAGTAGGTCAACACTGAGGTTGCCATGAATGTGACACTGCACTCTAGGCTGGGCAACAGAGTGAGACTCCAGTTCAAAAAAAGAAAAGAAAAGGAAAAAAGGCAGTGGTAGATCACTAGTGAAGGGCATCTTGAGAGCATTAAGCACTTGCAGCTCCGAGGTGATTAGAGTCTGTTCAGGCTCCTGGTTGCAACATACAGAAAGGAGGAGATGTCCTGGCTCACACACAGAAACTCCAGGCTATGGAACGAAGATGATTTTTAAACACAACAACCCAGAGTTGCAGATACATAAGGTGGGAAATAACACTTAGGAGCTTTGTGTGTGTGACTGTAATACGTTTAGACACATTTTTATATGAAGGTGCCCAAATCCCTTCTTTTACAGATAAGATTCCTGATCATTCCATTCCGTTACCAAGATTGCGCTATTCGGTGTAGTTAATAAAAAGGAAAATGGTCTCCATGGAATCTCTCTCCTGGGCTTTCAGAGAAAATTTTTCCAGATTTAAAAAGAAAAACCACAGTCTTTACACCTCTATTCCCTGTAGGGTTCACTCTTTGCCATCAAATTCCCGGAGGCGTTTTCTTCTAGAAGAGTGCAGGGGGAGACGACGGAGTGGCAAGAAGGGAGACCAGTTCTGGGAGAAGGATTCCAGAAGAAATGAAGGGGAAGGAGCTGGGCTCAGCCTGGGGGTCTCTCCCTGGTTTCCACAGACAGATTCTGGGCCAGGACTCAGGAAGACAGTGTGACAAAGAGCATTCGGTGCAGGAGGAGAGGAGTCAGGACAAAGTCCCAGGTCCCCGGGGCGTGGCTCTCAGGGTCTCAGGCCCGGAGGACTGTATCTGGGGTGGAGAGGCCAGCGTTGAGGATTCCCCATCCCCCGGAGTTTCATTCTCGCCCAACCTGTGTCGGATCCTTCCTCCTGGATACTCATGACGGGACCCACCTCTCACTACCATTGGGTAGTAGTCGGGTTTGTAGAGAAGCTAATCAGCGTCGCCGCGTTCCCGGCTGTAAAGCCCCACGGACCCACAGAGATTGAGTCTCCCCGGACCCAAAGAATGCGGGCTCTGTCGCCCCGAGCCCTCCTCCTGCTGCTCTCGGGGACCCTGGCCCTGACCGAGGCCCGGGCGGGTGAGTGCGGGGACCGGAGGCGGGAAACGGCCTTCGCGGGGAGGAGCGAGGATACCGCCCGGCCGGGGCGCAGGACCCGGGGAAGCCGCGCCAACGCCGCCCTCGTCCCCTCGCCTCCCGCGCCTCCTCCTCC